TTTTAAACTTATTTGATAAGTTGTTCAATTTAGAATTCAAATTAATTTAAGTTTGACTTAAATTTGAATTTGAATTAAAATTGGACTACAGGATAAATGATGATTTCTCTTCCTTTCCTATCCAAAATTGGCGCCACACACAAGGAAAAAAAACCCTAGGGTGGCCGGCCACATTAGAGATAAGGTGTAGGAGATTTTTTTGTTCCAAATTCAAATAGGAGATAGAGATTTGATTCATTTTTTAAGTAAGTTTGACTTCTACTATTTAAATATGAGAATGATAGAAAAAAATGAACACAATTTTTGAAACATATTTTCTACCCTAATAGAGAGAGTGGCCGAATTTCTCAAAAGAAAAGGAAAAGGAAAATTTTTTCTCCCAAAAAATTCCACATCGTGCATGCGTTGGTGTTTGTGAAAAATTCGAGTGTTTATTCAAACTTGTTTTGTCACACGTGTGCCCACACACACGTCTACGTGGAATCAAGGAATTGACGTGGAAGACTTTGGTTTTCTAAACACAAAGATTGGAGCAAGGACTGTTCGTGGTCAAAGAACTCAAGTTATCATCCGAGTCAGCCTCCAGGTATTTTTCCTAATTGAGTTCTTGACATATAAATTAATGTGATTAATTTATTCGTGCATAAATTAATATAATCTATAGAGTATCTCAAAAGTTTTATGAAATTTTTATTATACACGATCCGCCTCCCCGTCACGCTTCCGCATCCGAATTCGATTCGATTTCCAACAATAATTTATTGAGATCTCAACATTTTCAGTATTTCAGATACCTAGACCACTTTAAAGGTCTTTATGTTAGTTTAGGAGCGTCAATCTCTTCAAGAGTGCTAGTTCGTGTAACTTTTCTTTTTTCTCTTCCGTGAATTTTTATCTTTTAGAACCGATTAGTCTACCACGTTGCATGCGTGCCTTAGACTCATTTGCTGCTATATTTTTCAAATTTTTCCCGTCATGAATATCAATATGAGCTGGAACATTAGCAACTGATGTATGTGTGTGTGATTTAGTTACTTTCTTTATATCATAAAATGTATCTAGCAATTGATTCGTTGAAATACTTCTAACTTATATTGATTAGCGCGATGAATAAAGATGCATTCCACAAAATTTTATTTTATTTTTCTAGCCCTTTCATCTCTCCCCCTTATGTTGGGAATATTATTTTATATTTAAATCAACAATCCTTTCTATAAAAATACAATTTGTTAGGAACTCAAGAAATTTAATTATGGAAAGGATTTCAAAACCTAACAAAAATTTTCAGCTTTCTGTGAGTATCCATCTTAGTGTGATGTGGTCGAGCAATTAGAACATTTACTGCGGAACTAAAAACCATTAGATAGGACATATTTTGTTTTTGACCAAATGTCAATTGTAATGGGAAGTACTTATTATAAACACCTGGTTTGATGCGAATGAATACAATAATATGTAAAATTGCATGACCATATACAGAAATACGAAACTTTGTTCTCATTATTAATAATTTAGTAATTTGTTGAAGGCTCTCAATCAATTATTCAACCAAACCATTTTGTGAGAGCAACAAAGTGTTTAACAATAATCTCAATGGACATAAAAATTACTAAAGGCTTGAGATGTAAATGCACCAGCATTAGTAAGTCTAACTTTCTTGATTGTATATAATCAAAAATTATGCTCGTAATCTAATTAACTGAGTAAGAAATCTCACAAATGCCAATTGCGAGTTGATAATAAAAAAAAATGAGACCTTCTACTAGATGTACCAATACCATAAAGTATCTAATTGGTCT